GGGGCAGTGTGGGCGACCCCAGCTACATATTATCAACAGTGAATGCTTCGTACGTTCTCGGAGTGAGAGGCTTCTTTGATGGAGGCCGTTCCTCTGATGGTTCCGGCGGCGGCTCGGTTCTCGATCTGTGCATTCTTCCAGCGCTTCCTTTTCATCTTAGTCATCTGGATGGCTCCGCTTCTCCGAACGGTTCCTGGTGGTGCAGTGTTGCCTCAGAAGCCTTTCGTCTTCCGCCCTCGTGTGCAGTGACCCGGGCTGAAATTCTTGCTGCAAAGCACCTCCTGACAGGTGTGGTGGCGGTCCTTCAGGCGCTCGAGCGGGCTTAGGCTGTGGCTCGAGCGGGCCTGAACTCAGGCTGTGGCTCGAGCGGGCCTGAACTCAGGCCTGTGGCTCTGCGCAAAGCAAAAAACCAAGGTTGACGGCTGACCGCCGGCTTTCAGTTCTGGCGCGGGATGAAGGTAGTGACTTGTGTAGCTTCCCTAAGAGCATTAGCGGCTAAGCTAGGGGGGTAATTCCGGCGCGCTGGGGGGGCCAGATGGCAAACAATTTCGACGGACACACGCACCACATATATATATATATATAACTTCGATTCTCGGAATTCAATACTTCGTCATAGCTCTAGTATTTTTTCTCCTCATAGTCGATCTTATTCCCGCTCGTCATCTTAATCTCATGTCGATCGGGTACCTATTACTGCCAAAAAGCGTCGGGATGGGATCGGCTGTTTAGTGTCATCCTGGCAGGCTCTCTCGGTTTTCTGCACTTAACTCGAGCTGTGGGAGAGCTACCGAGCTGGTAGGCACACCGAATCCATTTTAGAATCGTCATGCGCGTAAGTCTCAAGTATCTAGATGTCTGATTTCGGTCTGCTATCAGAGCTGGGTTAGCGAAGCTATTCGTACTCTGCTACTTTAAAAAAAAGATGAGCATGAGTTTCTTGAGGTAGCTCGAGCTGCAGATGAGCTATAGAGCTTATTGGCACAGCAATCGAAATAACACCATCATACGCGCTAGTCTAACGCATCTAGATGCCTGACCTCGGTCTGCTAGTAGAGCTGGGTCAGAACAAACTATTGGTACTCTGCTAATGTTTTAGAGATAGTGATGATTTCCTTCACTGAACTGGAACTGGAGATGGGCCACAGAGCTGTCGTCCACATCAGTCGGAAAAGAATAGGCAGAAGCGCTAGTCTAAAGTCTCGAGACGCCCGAACTCGGTCTGCTACCAGAGCTGGGTCCGAAAAACTATCCGTACTCTGCTGAATTTTTAGAGAGATGGTGGTAACTTTCTTGAGATAACTCGAGCTGCAGATGAGCTATAGAGCTGTTTGGCACAGCGATCCGAAGTTAATCATCAGACGCGCTCGTCTCAAGTATCTAGATGCCCGAACTCGTCGCGCTTCCAGAGCTGGAACCAGAAAACTATTCGTATTCAATTTTTTCAGCGATCACGATGCCTTCCTTGATCCTTCGCGTTCTTCCTTCCTCCTTCTCTGCCTCACCCTCCTCCATATCCTTTCTCCACACTCCTTCTTCTCCTTGAGTCCTCCTCCATGAAACCGCACCCTCGCGCGCGCGGAATGCGAGCTTGCCTTTCCCGCATTGCACGAGGAAGCTCTACGAGTTCCCGGCGGTAACCAAGGCCATTTTGGCTCAAGCCATTTTGGCTCAAGGCTCAAGCTCTACGAGTGCCCCGCCCGCCCTCGGCCGCCCGTCCATCTCTCTCCTCCCGGGCCTCGGCGCCCTCGCGATGGCGGCTTGAGCACCTCTTGTCTCTGCAGTGGGTGGAGTCAGATTGTTGTATTGGGGTGCCCCTTGCTGTGTGGTGCCATGACAGCGCAATTTTGTACCTCGTCGCCCTCTACTTTGTACGCCACATCTTATCCTGTTTCTTCTTTCCCATCCTCGTCGTGGCGGCGGAGAGCGAGAAGGCTGAAACTCGCCATGTTTCGACAAGCCCTCTTTGACATCCATACTCTGCAGTGCGTTCCAGTGGTGATGCAGTCTCCTGAGGTGGTGCAGTCTCCAGCCGTGGTGCAGTCTCCAGAGATCTGTTTGCTAGAGGCTCTGGGTGTGGTGCTGGACTCATTCGACGGAGTCGCTAAACCCGCTGGGCCAACTGATCGTGGAGAAGCTTTCTCGTCTCATTCGGTTGCGTATTCTCCAGATGTGGTGCAGTCTCCAGATGGTGGGTTGCAGTCGAGACTGGGCTCTGTTTCTGTTGATCCTGGTGTCCAGAACGAGGAGTTGCAGGACGAGGAGTTGCAGGATGAGGATTTGCAGAGTGAGGAGGTGCTGAATGAGAAGTTGCATTATTCTCAGCATACTGTTTTCTTGGATTCAAGCTCTGAAGTTTGCCACGCTCCATTTCCTGACACTCTGTCGGCTTCTGTTGACCCAGGTGTTCGGAAAGAGGAGTTGCATGATGAGGAGTTGCAGGATGTGGGGTTGCAGAATGAGGGGTTGCTGAATGAGCAGTTGCATTATTCTCATCATACATGTTATACGGCCTCACGCCCTGAAGGTTGCCACACTTCAGCTTCTGACGGAGACTCAGCTTGCCATGGAAAGGATTAGCAGGGGGATCTTAAGGATTTCAAGGACGAGGTGGAGGAGAATGTTCATGTTGAGTCCGTGGAGAGTTCTACGGCAGTTGCTGCTGAAGAAGCGTCGCTTGCTTCTCAATCAAATGATGCTGTACTGCACTCAGTTCCTTTGGATTATTCTCTGCACTCAGCTCCTTTGGATTATTCTCTGCACTCAGTTCCTTTGGATTATTCTCGAGTGCAAAGGGAAGGTGGAGGCCCCGAGGCGCTGCCGTTGGCATCCTCGAAAACCCACGGAGAGTGCGAAGTTGACCAGCGTAAAGATAACTGTGCATCTTCTTCCCGGCTCTGTTCAGATGAGTTGCAGAGCAATCGATCAGAGTGTCGAGCTGCCAGGGACTGGGCCCGTGCCAATGACGATGCAGTTGCTCTTTGGCGGGAATTCGAACGGCTCCCGAAAGATGAGTTTCATGCTCGGATCGAGGCGCTCAAGGCATACAAACTTCGAATGGGAATTTAGAGTCCCGAGGAGGCGCCGAGTCCTGAGGAGGATGCTGGCCGTGGGAAAGGCCAGAGGCACCGCAGAAACAGGGGGCGGGCAAGGGCGAAGGCTCAGGCAGTTCTAACTGGCTCTTCTATGTCAAAGTCGGCCCATCAATCTACTTGCGATTCTCCCCAACCTCCGTCCTCTTTTCACGATTCAGTTTCTTCCGCTCTACCCGCCCCAATTGTGCCCTTGTTGCCCGAAGGCGACAAGGAGACGGAGGTGGATGAGTTGCATAGCTATCAATCAGAGTGCGATGAGGACGTTGATTCGGATGCGGCCTTGCACGCATGGGATATTGTGGCCACCCAGCGAGTGAGGGCAACTTTTTACTTGAAGCAGGCTGCTCTGCACCGTTTCTGTGAGGCTTTGCGCCGTGATGGGGGGGAGGACGCGGACATCCAGAGAACCTGTGGGCTGTGTCGGTTGGACAAGATAAGGATGCACCGTATTGCAGGGTGGTGCTTCGGACATTGGCGGTGCTTGACATTCTACTCAAGTGGTGCTCAACGGTTGATGGAACAACGCTTGCAGAGCCACATTAGGAACCTTTGTGTAACCTTTTGGCCTTAACTGTGGCCTTAACTGGCGCCTGGCGCTGTTCAAGACTTCAACTTTAACTTTCACTCTGCTTCGCCTGTGATATACAACGTAAACATGAACTAGTCGGCCTCCACGGTTTCTTCGTTGGAGGGCGGTCTGTGGAAGGATATGCTGCTGATCGGCTGTTGCTTTGATCAATGCAGTAAAACGGCATTGTATGGCCGTGGAACACGTTTTGGGTAGCGTTTCAACCAGCTCTTACACCATTCTCTAACCTGTTCCAACACCTTTGCATTCTCACATGTTGTGCTGCATCCTTTTCCTTGTTCCTGCATCCTATTCCGATGCCTATGTCTCAGTGGCTCGGCAGTGTGATGATAAGAGGTGCCTTCTCTAGCTACCCTGTGCTCCGTTTGGGAGTCTTAGGGCTCAGCTGTCACAGCTGTCCGCGCCCTGACTCAAACTCAAAAACCAAGGTTGCCGGCGGTTGCCGAGGTTGCGGAAGCGGAGCTTGCCTCCCGCTCTCCCGCGGCCTTGGCCCGTCGGGGACTCCTCGAGCCGCATCGTGCGGACAGGTTTTGTGCATACACACGTAACGTACATCTCTGAGTACCGAACGGGTGATCTGTCGGCATTGGATTGATTAGTTGTTCTTGCGTGCCCCTTCCTTGTGCGGCATCATGACAGCGCAATTTTGTTCGAAAAGAAAAACAAGGAGAATCAAAGTGGCGATCTGTAGACAAGCTGTATTTGATGTTATGCAGTTTAATGCTCGTGATCCATATTTTGTGGCTGATCCGAAAATTTTCCCCGCGTTTGGCTGGTTTGATAACCTCGATGATTGTGCGCGAAACCCATGCCCGTTTCAGGGGAACTCGGAGGAGCAGGCCAATATATTGTTGAGTTCCTTATCGGTGCCAACTGCTGGGCCAACTGGTCGTGGAGAAACTTTCTCGTCTCATTCGGTTGCGTATTCGCCAGATGTGGTGCAGTCTCCAGATGGTGGGCTGCAGTCGAGACTGGGCTCTGTTTCTTTTGATCCTGGTGTTCAGAATGAGGAGCATGATGGGGAGTTCGCGGCGGTAACGAAGACGGCGTCTGGTTGCGGGGACTCGTGGGGCTTCTGTGTGCGGTTCGAACCGCATCGCGCGGAAGGTGCCTCAGTTGACCCAGGTGTTCGGAAAGAGGAGTTGCATGCTGAGGAGTTGCAGGATGTTGGGTTGCAGAATGAGGAGTTGCTGAATGAGCAGTTGCATTATTCTCATCATACATGTTATACGGCCTCACTCCCTGAAGTTTGCCGCGCTTCAGCTTCTGACGAAGACTCAGCTTGCCATGGAAAGGATTGGCAGGGGGATCTTAAGGATTTCAAGGACGAGGAGGAGGATAATGTTCATGTTGAATCCGTGGAGAGTTCCACGGCAGTTGCTGCTGAGGAAGCGTCGCTTGCTTCTCAATCAAATGATGCTGTGCTGCACTCGGTTCCTTTGGATTATTCTCTGCACTCTGCTCCTTTGGATTATTCTCTGCACTCAGTTCCTTTGGAGTATTCTCGAGTGCAAAGGGAAGGTGGAGGCCCCGAGGCGCTGCCGTTGGCATCCTCGAAAACCCGCGGAGAGTGCGAAGTTGACCAGCGTAAAGATAACTGTGCTTCTCCTTCCCGGCTCTGTTCATATGAGTTGCAGAGCAATCGATCTGAGTGTCAAGCTGCCAGGGGGAAAGGCCAGAGGCGCCGCAGAAACAGGAGGCGGGCAAGGGCGAAGGCTCAGGCAGATCTAATTGGCTCTTCACACCCTGGGAGTTTATCTAATGCAGTTGTGAGTTCAGCAGTGACGGAGGACGAGGAGAAACGTAACCACGCATATTATTTGCTTCAGTTGGCGTGTAATTTAAGGATCAGGAAATACTGCTTCCGCAAGTCTGGCTGGGTAAAGCTCGTTCACTCTTTCACGGCTGCCACGCTGTGTCGCCTTATGGCCTCGGGTGCCGAGGAAAAGGCTGTGTTGCTTGAAGCGCTTCTTCGGGATCGCGCGAGACTTGGCCCGATAGCCAATTTGACCCATCTGTCGACGGATATCAGAGACTTTAGGCACCACAGACTCGTTCCCAAAAGCGTTTCGGAAGCTATGAGATACGTGACGAATTTTCAGGATGAATGGATGCGTCGCAATGTAAAGAAGTACCGCGAGTTGGCGGCCAAGGCGGGATACCCAATTGATTGATTGATTCAGTGATTGCACATCGGCTGACATGGTTGGCCCGAACCAGAAATTGTTACGTTGTATTCCATACTTCACTTATTGAACATGCGAGCAAAACAAAACTAGACGGCCTCCGTGGATTCTTCGACGGAGGTCGTTCTGTGGAGGGATGTGCTGCAGAATGGTGTTTAGATTTGTGTGTGCACGGGGCGTGGCTGTTGGTGGCGGAGGAAGTTCTCTCGCTTGATGCCTCTGCTTCTGTCGTGTTCTGTGTGATGTTTGCAGCGCAACGGCTCTGTATGGCCGTGGTGCACGTTTGGGTGGCCTCTTTCATCTCTAACCTGTTCCTACACCTTTGCAATTTTACATGTCGTGCTGCATCCTTTTCCTTGTTCCTGCATCCTCCTCAGTGGCTCGGCAGTGTGATGATATGTGATGCCTCCCCTAGCTACCCTGTGCTCCGTTTGGGAGTCTTAGGGCTCAGCTGTCACAGCTGTCCGCGCCCTGACTCAAACTCAAAAACCAAGGTTGACGGCTTACCGCCGGCTTCCAGTGCTGCGTAGAGCTCGTCGGCATCGATGAGCTAGAGGAATTCCAGCGCGGGGTGGAGCTAGTTGGCCCACCCGGCCCGGGCGGACAATGTGGGAACTTAGGGTCCTTGGGGCGAAGATCCTGAGAGATTTGACAATTCGTTGTGAAAAAGTCATTTGCCTTCCCTGTAGTGCATCATGGGGCGTTCGGCCGTGAAAGTCTCCGGGCTCTAGCTGCTGTGCAGCTCTTGATCATTAGGAGGAACCACCAACCGGAGGAACCGCCAACCGTCGGGAATGCAGTTTTCGAGATGATAATGGTTTCGTGAACTTAACAAAAGAAGGAAGCGAAACATGCAGTTCTAGCATTATTAGCACCTGTGGTGGGTTATTCCGCGTCTGTAAGTGAAATTCACAGGTCCGTAGCTGCAGTATTGCTATCAAAACATTGGCAGAACCGACGTCGTACTAAAGTCGAGAATTACATTTTGCGAGTTCTGAAGCTGACATTCGAGACCGCTCTCTCCTCGTCATTCGCTCGTGGATTTGCGTGTTGAGAGCTCTACGAGGGTCCGGCGGTAACCTGGTTGACCGTTTACCGCCGGTTCCCAGTTGGCCCACCCCGCCGGGGCGGACAATGTGGCAACCTGGGGTCGATTTTCGGGAGATTCTGAGAGATTCGATCGTGCATCCTTAATACGATCCTCAACATCAGGATGTGCAGGCAGTAGGGAGGTAGAGTAGATCTCCTGACCCAGTACATTCATTCTACAGACACGTGACATACTGACGCTCTGAAACTCAGAGCATGCAGGGATATTCAAATTCTCACTAGCAGGTATATCTCCAGTGCAATCCGTCTTCAATCTCTCCACACGTCATATAGAGCAAGCTGCTGTCCTTCCATCTCATCCCCCAGTCATGTAATGGTAGGGTTTAATCGTGAATTATCTGAGCCAGCATGAATGAGAAAGACGAGACAAGATAGCAGTTGTCCGCCCACGCAAAGAGGTTGACGACAAGCCGTCGTTCGTACTCTTCACAGAGATGTCAACGTTGAAAGCTAATTAATTGTCGTTGAGCCGGGAACCAATATTATCGAGACAACGATGTCTCTCGTTAATACTGGTTCCCGGCTCAAGAACTCGGCCCAATCCAGTCGGCTAGGTCACGTTGTGGGGGCCGTCGGAGGGCTCCTGGGCGTCAGCGCGCCATAGCGAGCACGTGGTCTGCGTGGGCAGCTCCACCGACTGCTGTCGGCCGCCGTCTCTCTTTGGTGCTTGCTTGCATTGTGTCGCGTGCTTGTTCATTGAGTCGGATTCAGACATTGATTCGGGCAGCTGTGTCACATGCTTGTTGTTGACAACGAAGGAATCTGATACATGTTTCCCTTTTACGACACATCTCAAGCGTTCTATTGACGGAAGGCACCCACCCAAGCATCATATTCAATCTATTCATAAGGAGAGCGGCAACTTGCCGCCAAGTGTACCACTTAGTGAACGCACTGTGTCTCGACAGTGGTTGCAGTCGTGGGAATGCGGCCCTGATTGTTTCGACGCGATGCCAGAAAATGCAGATGACATGTCCGTGGGCGGAGGTGCCCCCCCCTGTAAAGCGTTCTCGTGAGGAAGTACGGGCGCAGAGACAGGCTGCCTTGGATGGGAAAGATGCCATGCAATGTTTACTACTTCAGACGATGTGTACGATGGATGACAAAGCTGAAAGGATCCAGGACGCCATCGGAGTTCAGGGTACGAAAATCGATAATGCTCAGGCCCAGGTTCAGAAGCGAGGTGCTTCGACTTCCAGCTTGGAGGCTAAACAAAATCAACTTGGGACCATCGTCCAGGGACTTCAGGGGCAGGTGCGTGCAGGTTCTGTGGCGAGTGATGCGTCTACGAAGCCTGCTAATACTAGAACGGGTGGACACCAGGCTCCTGGAGGTACTTATTTCTCTCCCTCGTATATTGAACTCAAGGGATGGGTCACTGACTGGAACGACAGGGGTCGTAGGTCTCAGGAGATGCTGATGTGGGGTGGTGTAAAGGTGCTTATCGATAGTATTACCACCCACTGTCTTTCAGAGGATGATCGTGTGCATGTGTGTGTTGACGGTACGGAGCGTATCAAGGCTGGTCGATGCATGTTCGGATCGGCGGAAGTGAAAGTCAAGCCGGGGACGGATGGCTTGGCTTGGCTGAGCCGAGCATCCGGGGGGACGCGTGGGCAGAGGAAGAGTGCCTTATTGGCAGCTCTTCGTGCCAATGCAAGGGGCATCTTGCAGATGGATTGCGTGAACACAGAGGCTCGACTGTGGAGCAGAAGGAAGAATGGAGCGTCTCACGACTCACGCAGGAAACGAGAGGGGAGCAAGAGGGGGAGGAAGGAGAGGCGGGGGGGGGGGGCGAGGAGCGTGCGGATTGGAGTTACTCACGAGACAAATCGTACACTGAAGTCGCCCACTGCTGTCGCGGGCGCCCTCGTGTCCGGCGGCGTGCCCGAGTTTTGGGAATGCCATCCGCGTCGCACAGTGTTTCTTTGATCAGGGAAGGGTCCGGGGACCTGGCGATTCTATTGTACAGAGCTATTTGGCGTTCGTTCAGAGTCTCAGATAATGGTGTCGACGACGCCCGCTGCAATGCTTCATTGTTGCGAACGCGAGAAATAAACGAGTGGGGAATGCCAGGTAGGCGTTGCAAGCATGTGCAATGGAAGCTGTCCAATCTGGACCTGTCTGCTTTAAGCGACCATACAGAATCCAAAGACTACATGAGCTTGCTGAGCACGCAGCTGGAATATATGGTGTATTTCCGTCTTCGTCCGATTGACGCGTGGGCCCATATCCGTATCCATGGGCGGATCGGGACATCATATGGCGCGCGAAGCGCTGCATCGACCTTGTGACGGTGCCCCGTTGCCCAGCGTCCTGCTCCTCCTCCAGGTATCCAGATTGCGTCGCCACAACGCCTCATCGAGCATATGACACAACATTTCAACCCTGAGTTGCTCAATGTCAGTGTCGAATGCCCGTCGTGGAAGAGGGGCCGCGTCAAGGCTGTGGGGCGCTTCTGCGGCACGCTTAGGAGCATGTGTACGCAGCTCGGGATCGATGCCATCGCTGTGAGGGGGGAAATGGGGCCGCCTAAGTCTTGTATATGGACTGTGCCCACGGTTGCTGGTCAGAGGCCTCTGCTCCTGGCCGAGATTGCCACGACGCGGGCGACTTGGGGGGTGGCGAATAAGATTGCCACGAAGTTGTATCATATTGTGCCTGCCTTTACTAAGACTAAGGCGGATATCGAAATCCGAAATGGAAGTCAACAGGAGGATGTGGCGACGACGACGCCGTACACCGTTCAAGGGGAACCTCAATCGCGCGGGATCGGCGAATTTCAGGGGGAACGGGGTCCTGGGGAGCCTCTGCTTGTGGGATAGCATTTGGGGTGTTCAGGAATGCCAGAATCTCTTCGGCGGCAGATTCGATATATATATATATATATATATATATATATATATATATATATATATATATATATATATATATATATTAGGCGTTGTGGTGTATCATATCGCGTGAGCTGTGACGGTAAAGGTGGGTTACTATGTATCAAAGAGTGGAGTGCATGTGTGTGTGAATCACTGTGTGGTGGTCTTCGGTAGTGGGAGTGCTCATGTGATTGTGGCTTCTGCCTATCTTCCCGACCCCAGCGTCGAGAATGCCGTAGATGTGCAATGTGGAGTCTTGGACAGATTGGAGGCAGTCTTTTTCAGTTTGCGAGGTCGCTGGAAAGGTGCGACCGTCTCTGTACTGCTCGATGCCAATGTCGAGCTGCCTCCATCGACCCAGCTACAGTGCTCACGCGCGGGGATAGTCTATGAGGCGGTGGGAAGTTCTACTCAGGGGGAGAGGAGGAATTGCGAGGAGGGAGGTGCTCAACGGGAACGGAGGGATGTACGTCAGCATTTTCGCGAGCGTATTCTCTGCTTTTTAGGGCGCCTGGGGTTGAGGGCTGCCAATTCGTTTTTGCCGCGACGATTGCGCGCGTGGGAGAGTTTCGGAACCTCTCGCTGGGGGACTTGCAAGATGGTTCTTGGCTTTATTTTCGTTCCCAGGACGTGGTCGATTGATAAGATGACGGTGGAGGCGATTATGAGCAACGGGGGGAAGACACATCGTAGTCGTCTTAGTGACGACTGCCTGCTTCAGGGTACCTTTAGCGATCCAGGTGTAGAGTTGCTCAGACGTAGCATCCCGACGGCAGCTCGTGGAAAGAGTCTCGCGGGTTACTAAACCGAGAGTTGTGGGGACCTCCATCTGGCACGAAAGGAGATCGATCAGGTCTTCGGGGATGCCAGTGCTACTTGTTCTCCTGGGGACCTTGTATCGACGACTATTCGGGCCTGTACTGAACATGGGGAAATCCGATTCACGACTGCCACGACGGGACGGGGACTACCACCTGTTAGACCTGCTGAGCTTACAGCTTGTCAGGAGATCCTGCGACAGAAGCCGATGCCTGTGGCAGTGGATGTACCCTCAGTGCGCAGACGTGCGAACCGACTTCGGAGGGAAAATCGCGCGGCGTTGGCCGCGTGGTCCTTTCCTGCTTGCCGGCGCAAAGTACGTCACAACATCAAGCATCTTATTGTGCAAGGATGGGTAGCAGAGGACAGGGAGGAGTGGGTGGAGGAAACCAGAGCATATACTAGAGACAGATTCTTCGGAGGAGGCCAGAGGACGGGATGTGGAGATGTTGGAGGAGTTGAGGAAGGAGGCGTATCAGAACTTATGTGACGGGTGCTGCACAGAGGGACTGGCCATGGCGGTGGACTGCCAGGGGCGGTCTCGTCTCAAGTCCATGCGCGCCACAGGTCCCGACAGGCTGCCTTGCGAACTACTCAAGACATTGCCGTGGGCGACCCTGCGCAGCGTAGCTAAACTTTTTGATGGGATATTTGGTTTGACGCGGCATTTCCCGCAGGGCTGGAGGCGCATTCTTATTGCCTTCGTGCCTGAGCTGCCGAGCTTGACATCGCTGACATATGCACGGTACCTCTGTCTACAAAACAGTCTGAGCCGCTGGTGTTCTGCTTGTGTGGTGAACTTGGTCGAACAATTCGTCTCTCGGGCTGGGCTCATGGGACCTCTGGGTATTTATGGCTTCCAGGAGGGGCGTAAGACGGTGGAGATCGTGGGGGCCCTCAAGGCTCTAGCACAACATGG